CTTTAAAACAAACAAACACCATGTCGCCCCATTCGTTCTTGACAATAGCCCTGCAGCGTAATTTCCAACGTCTTGGAAGGTTGAATGGATAAGTCGTGGAAGCAACTTCTGTCACTTTTCCAGAGGTATGTCCTTCCTGCTTATGTTGCTAATGCTACATCAGGCATATGGACGTTCTTTTCCACTGTCATTTGTTTTCGTGGATTCTCACCTGTTATAAGACGATGTACTTTGTTTACTGTGGCTGGGGTGTGACTTGTTGCAGGTCTCTTTCTAGATGGTCCCGGTTCCAAATTGATCCATATTTTTTGTTTTTCAGTGTCGTTAAGTGCAAGAAATATTCTCGTTTTGGAAATTCTAAATCTCCAATATGAGTGCATCTTTATTATCTGAGTGTATGAATATTTTACGTCGGAAAAGGATGTTACATACCCTTTCCAAGAGCAATCAATTTTCGATGGCATCAGACTAGCTACGATTGTTTGTTTTGAAATTAAGCACAAAGCTACACAAAGGGCTATCTGTGCTGTGCCCACCACGGGTATCGAAACCCGGTTTCTAGCGTTGTAAGTCCGCAGACATACCGCTGTGCTACTGGGGGGCTTCTCTACTACTAAAGCCAAACAATGTAATTCCACCTGACTTTAATCGTCTGTGGTTGTCACGTGACTTGCATTTTAAAAACCGTTTTAATATAACATGCTTAACCCTCTTTGAAAGGAGTTCCTATAGCCTGTCAGTTCAATGAAATCGAAGTTACAGTTAACGAAATAGGCATAAAAAATCAAGTCGTTAAATATGAAACTTTTCCACAAAAGGAAAAATATTGTGTATGACATTTAACAACATGAAACACTATTGGAAAAAGCTTTGTTAATAGAAGAAAAATACTTTATGATAGATATTATGGAGTTTAGGTATTAAATGTATGTAGCATTGTTAAAATATGATTCTGTAACAGAACAAAAACTGTACTTTGTTTGTAGTTATGCACAAAGCTACACGATGGGCTATCTGTGCTCTGCCCACCACGGGTATCGAAACCCAGTTTCTAGCGTTGTAAGTCCGCAGACATACCGCTGTGCAACTGGGGGGGGAGGCTATAGGTAACAGAACAAAAACTTTCTAGTGGACACTAACAATATGAAATATTGTTTGAAAAGGTTTTGGTAACAGAACAAAAACTTTCTAGTGGACACTAACAATATGAAATACTGTTGGAAAAGGAAAAACTGTTGGAAAAACTCTTTTAACACTAGACGCTAAAAACATGAAACCCTGTTAAAAATGTTTTTGTAACATAAAAAATCTTGGTAATAGACATTATAGTCTTAACCAAGTTGAGTCTCTTCATATAAAAACTAAAGTAACTAAATGTATTCCAAAATCTCATTATTTCAACAACCAAAATCTTTTGCAGTAGCTAGAATGTATACAAATAGCTTTCCAAGCAAATGATGACAATAATTAGTATCCCGTATGTATATATATATACACACGAAAGTAAAGTTTCATATCAAATATTAATTTATTCAGTCGCCTTTTATCTCACGTAGCTGCATATCTCTCACACTTAATTATATAATTAAACAGAAAGGCAAACAAAGCTTTATGTTTGATACAAAGGAAATAATGAATCCCAAACTCTATTATTTCCAAAGATCCACAGATGTTACTAGCAGCCTGCATGCAATACGCCATCACTTCGAGCAAGGCCTGCGAAGCTATTGTGAAATTCTCCTAAAGCCTTTTCTTCGAGCAGACTTAGTTAATGAGATCTTGAACAGACTTAATATTATTTTCCCTTAACGTTTTAAAATTCAGAAGGTGGTATTTTGGCCCTGCCCTTTATTAGTAGGTGTTAAACTCTTCGAAACACACGAGGGGTACTAAAGGAACAATAAACTTGAAATTCCTAAATTTTTAGTTTGTTTGTTGAAATTCACGCAAAGCTATTCGGGGGCTAACTGCGCTTGCAGTCCCTAATTTAGAAATGATAGACTAGAGGTAAAAGGAGCTCGTAAACACCACCCACCGCCAACTCTTAATCGAATAGTGAGGTTGGCTGTCAAATTATAACGCCCTCACAACTGGAAGGGGCGAGAATATTCGGTGAGAAGATTCGAACCCCTAATCACCAGGGCTTGCCAGGCCTCAAATCTTCAGTAAGCTGACTAATCTTCTGACATAAGTATTCTCCCATTACGTCACGTGGGACGAAAATAACAAATCAGAATTTGGTTTAAAATATACCACACAGTGAACAATAGTTGGCATAAAGAAATGCAGATAAAACTTTTAACATAACAGTTATATCTGGTTTTAGATATATTGTTGCGTCAGCGAGGTGACGTGACTAGTATCCCGCCACGTTTTTCTAGAAATATCCTGTTCCTTCATGAATGCCCTAGCATTTACTAGACATGTGTTTACTAGTCTTGTATATATAAGACGTTCACAACGTGACGGGATAACAGTGTAAGGAGTAATTGAACTGCAGTCAGAGAATGTGTAATTGAACTGAGTATTGTTGAAGTCGAGCACGTGAGACGTTCGTTGAGAATTATAGCGTTTGTTGTTGAAATTAAGTGTATCGCAAAGTTATATTCAGAAAGAATAAACCAGTTTTATTTAAGAAAGGACTTGTGTCGCTAAAGTTTCGTCGGAATGAATTTACGGAAAATTAACTAACGAACGGAGACGTAACAATATAAAAACTTTTCTTCGTTATATTAACGTAAGTTATTTTTATCGAGTTTTTTTAACTTATATTTTTCATCACGCAATTTTCTGATCTTCAAAATGAGTGTGTGTGTGTGTGTTTTCTTATAGCAAAGCCACATCGGTCTATCTGCTGTGTCCACCGAGGGGAATCGAACCCCTCATTTTAACATTGTAAATCCAAAGACTTACCTTTGTCCCACCGGGGGACTCAAAATGAGTCTACCCAATTTATATTCAAACGGCTAAACAAAATATTTTATTGGCCTGAGTAGATTCAAGATTGAAATCAAATGGTAATGTGTTTTATAGCAGACCCACAGTGACTCAAATCTGTAGGTTTACATCGCGAAAAATTGGGTTTCGATACCTGTCGTGGGCAGAGCACAGCTAGTCCATTACGTAACTTTGCGCCACAAAACCGTTTTATCGTATGATCTATGTCACATATTTATACACCAAAATCTTAACACTAAAATATTACATATATATATATATTGAAAAAAAAAACTTTCAATCCAACTAACATTATTTTTAATCACAAAGGGTCCGCTTTTTGCAAACTTTGTTTCTCAACACAAAAATAACCATAAATGCAAGTGAAATTAACAAGGGCGTCACATTTTAAACGCATCTATATAAAATAATAGTACTGTCTGTTGTATGTCCATGTAACCACTTCGCAGAGTGTGGATGGATCTTGGTATAGAGGCTCATTAGGTCCATGCGGGGGTACATACAAATTTTCAGTTTTGCATTTTGCGGTTTTTATTGGTGTTTTGCATTTTATTACCACTAGTTCGCCACCTGTTGATATATCTTCACCAAATTTCGCATGAAGGTTTTTGTGTCCATGCGGAGATACTTGCAAACTTGTGGTTTCACAGTTTCTGTTTTGCAGTTTTTGTGCGCGTTTCAGCGTTTTTTTACAATTACATATAAGAGAAGCAAATATTCATATCCTA